ATAAATAAATAAATAAATAAATAAATAAATAAATAAATAAATAAATAAATAAAGTTTTGAAAGAAGCGCTAAATGAAGATCCCCTGTAGATATTTGTGCGTGTGTATTTCAATATAACTGTACATCTACTTATAAGACAGACATATAAATAGACATAATGCATTCTTAGAAACATTTACTGTATATTCATAACATGAATATTCTGCAGGTATTTTAATACTTATTTTCATACTCTGTTATAAAAAGGTTATTAAAATGGTACCTATATATTTTTAATTTCTTTACTACCTGGCAAGACAGAAATATTTCAGTAAAATTCTTGTCAACACTGATTATTTAATATAGGCTGTTTATTAAACCCACTATGAGGACTTTCTAATTTAACCATTAAGAAGTCACATATTGAACTGATTAAAAAAAAGACAACAGCAATCTTGCACGGTGCTATATTCTAAACAGAACTCTGTTGCTCTATGTACTTTTGCCTGATAGAAGAATTAAAGGCTAAATCCCATTTGTGAATTAAACTTCTGCTTGTACAAAGGGAGCTTCCATTCCTCTCATAGCTCATGTATTTACCCTTGGGCTGCCATGGAAAGTTGCCCAACCTCCAAATTTGGGAATATACAAGATAGTAAGCAGAAAATTATTTCACAAGTAGTGCCATAATACTAATGGAAAGGTATAAAATGCATAAAGTCTTTAATTAGTTGCAAAAGTTTAAATAAATAAATAAATAAATAAAATCAATTTGCTTCAGAATGTTTGATTCATTAGCCTAAACCAAGCATGCACTGAAAATGTATTTGATTTGTAATAAATTACTGCATAATGCTAACAGCTTCTGAATCTGAAGGAATATTCTTACTTAAGAAATAGTGCATTTTTCTGCAATGCACAGAAAAAACCAATAGTTCACTTTCACTAGGAGGTAAACTGAAGTAGCTAAAGTAATTAACTTTTTACCTTGTTCTTGTTTGATCCTTTCCCTTTCTGCATACCCAGCAGCAAGCATATTAATTCTGTTCAACCACCTGAAATAACATTTTCAATGAATTACTGACATGGCTGACACATTATAGGTCATTTATTAAAATTATGAAACATCTGGATAAGATGAAGACAGCAAAGCTCCTTGGCAGGTTTATCATTAGGTCTTCAGTAAGTTAAACTTAAAAAATGTAATGTTCTGAGATACTGAAAGCTCCCATAAATTTATTTCTCATAGATGCCAAACTATTTATATTATTCATCAAACCAACAGGAAGTTTGAATATAAAGTGGGTTTGTATGTTCCTTTTAATTTTAAAGTTCATGAATCAGGCATTAAAACAAACAGATACAATTGCGGGCATTAAACAGGGAAAGGTAAGGAATTCCCTTCTTTGTTAAAGGCTCTAACTTCACTACAAAGCATGAATTAAAGCAATACTGATATTGAGAGAGATAACATGCCTATTTCTCTTAACCTGTAAATGTTTTGGTATTATCATTATCCAAAAGCTACAGTTAAATCAGATTCTGAACACCCAATACTTCTGCCAACATGACAGTCACATCTAGTAAAATTGGACCTCATTTTATATAGATTTGTCAAGATTATCAAATTATTACTACTACTACTACTACTACTAATTATTATTATTATTATTTTATCCTACCTTTATATAGAGTGAGAGTGAGAAAGACTGAGTGAGAGAGAGAGAGTCAATTCAAGGAAGTGAACATATGTAATACTCCTGCTTTCTATGTTCCCCACAACAACCACCCTGTGAGGTGGGCTGGGCTGAGTGAGAGTGACTGCCCCAAAATTACCCAGCCGGCTTTCATGCCTAAGGGAGGCCTAGAACTCACATTCTCCGGTTTCTAAGCCAGCTCCTTACATTCTACATGTAAAACATGTGGTAGAAAATTAGAGTGACAATATCACCAACATTTTTGCAGCGCTCTGTGTCCTTCTAAACAGTAAATATGTTTGCCTCTGTTGTAGACACTTTACACAGAACTACTGTAATATTTTCAGAAATGAAATGTGAGTCTTACTCTTATTCTGCAATGAAAGGAGAAAGCTGAGCCTCCTGGTTAAACTGAATACTTATAATCATGAATGGAAACCTACAGAAGATTTATACCTTCTGCAGGTAAATAATTGATAATGCAACAAAATTTTGTGTTTTTTTCTGCTAAAGTATGCAACAATGCATCCATAGATGCTTACCTTGACATCTGTCAATTTCTATTCCCCCCTTTATTATTTTTTAAAGAATATTTTAAACAAACTAAAAAAGTAAAATAGTAAGCTTGCATGCTGCAAAACAAAACTGGCAGACTCCATCATAATCTTTTCTAGACTATATCTGGTCCCTAGGTAAGCCCAGAGACATTAGCTGACCTGTCTAGAAAAAAACAGAAGACAGGCTAAGATGATAAGGAGTCTTCTGGGGGGCTCAAGCAACTAGTGAGAAGAAAATTGATCAGTGTGCTTCCTAGTAAATGTTTTATGACAAATATAGCATCCACCCATTTGTGAAGCATTGCATGAAAGCCATTGTATAAGAGCGCATTGTAGATAACCTCACAGATGCCCTTAGAGAAACTATGCAGTAACAATTACAAAAATAAAGGCATTCTTTAAGCCCAGGAAACAAAGAAAATGTGAGAAAGAAGCTCAGACTGGTTCCACCCTAATTCACTGAGGTATAAGAAAGAAATGGGTGGGGCAATAGGCAGGTGGGGCATGTCTTTCTGAAGGCAGTCAGGCTTTTCCATAATCCAATAAGAGATGTCTAGCATAATGTGATACACATTATTTTTATTACTCTTTCACAAGAAATTAGTGGTACTGAGAACCACTAAGGACAATATTATCTAGTAACAGTAATTTGTAATAATATTTTTAATTATACTGAGTAAAAAAAAACTACATACATTTCATCATAAAAGCTAATTTCATTTAACAAATGTCTTCATTTTGAAAGACTTAATGTGGCTAAGACAAGGAAAATATACCTGTTGGAAGACAGAATATTCTGACTGCATTGGAATATACTGTACTACCCTACTCATTTTTGCAGTACATAGTACAATTTGGGTATGTACACATTGTTCTTGTTTAATGTCAGGGACTGTGCTACAAGCAATGCAACATTATCAGTACAGAAGAAAACAGGGTAGTCACTGTACAGGCTGTACAATCAAGTTTCAAAACAACAGTGTATGTGCCAACCATGCTGGTCTATGTTATTAGATTTGTTCTGAAATAATCAAGAATGGTTCCCTGCAAACAATCCTACCAGAAATTCTACTACCAGAAATAACATAATTATATCATATTGTGAGTATTCAATATAATGTATCTCAGCATTTATGTGGTCAAACATTTAAAAAATATGCATAAATAATGAAAACATAAGCATACTGAAAGATGAAGCATAGATAATAATTAGCACTGATTTAACCTTAGTCCTTTTTACTAAGGTTATGTCAACTACAAAAACATTAGAAATTGGTCTATAAAATCTCTGGACTCAGCCCTTTAAGATTTCCTCCAGCTGGAAAACCATAGTACAGTGATCATAATTATTCTGACACAGTAATACCAAATTATTCCACCAATTCACAATTTTTGGAATGGTATTTTAATTTGTGAATTTTTAATGAAAATAATGTTTGTTTTTCTCTGTATAACAGATTATTCTGTCTAGGAAATAAATAGAGACTTTCAAAACATTATTCTTTCCTCAAGTGGAAAGAGAACAAATAACAAATTAATGAACACAGGAACTTGCCTTAAGTGTCTGTGTTGGTGGTGGTGGGGTAGGTGGGCAACTGAGTGACAAGGGATAAAATGTGTGTCATGAGGTCAAAGCACAAACCCTACAACTTACGTATTTGTATCAGATGTTGGGATGTAATGTGGGAGTTTAAGTTGTAACATCACTATGCGCATATCATTTTTCTATCATCAGGACTAGCTATGGATGCCTACTGAATTTTGCTACTTGTGAATATATCAAGATTGTTGTCACCCACTATACCCAGCAGCTTTCTGTCCTTGTAGAGAGCTTAATAATCAAAAGTGATCTTTAATGGACCTGTTTGTGTGTGCTACATATGTGTACATACATATGTGTATGGACACACATACACACAGACACACACACACAGCATTTTTGAAATGAAAAATAATTATCTTACATATTTTCCTATTTTTCATAGCTGATCTTAATATGTGCTACCTATATATTCTCCTGAGTTATACATGCAATAAAATAAATCTATTTATTATTCTTTTTAAAATGAATTACCTGTTCAAGTCATCTTGATGTTCAGCAGCAAAGTAAAAGCTTTTGATTTTAGGATGGCAGGCCTTGAATGCACTACACAGGAAAAATACCAAAAAATCATTAAAAAGTATTAAACATGATACTGCATTCTTTTCAGTATTCATGCTCTGATTTTTTTTTGTAAAAAAAATCTTTCATAAATTAATATCAAGAATATTTTTATGCCTATTTGTGTTTTTAGCTGAAATATACATGTGTAAGAATCACACAATGCTCTTAAAGTATAATTTGATACAAGTCTACTCAAGAGTACAGTGAATTCAGTAGGGCTGATGCTGCAATTCTACAGAGGCATCTCTAGGTGTAAGAGTAATTTGTGCTTACTTCTTAATAGTTGAGGAAGAGAAAAGAAGTTTTACTTTTTGACAACCTATTAGAATCATGAAATTATTCACAGTAATGGCAAATTCCACAGATCTGTTTCCTTTCAATAAAGTATAAAAATAACTTCTTCAAAATTATATCAGGATTTTTCACACTGTGTCCCATGGAAACTAGATTTTCATGAGAACTTGACAGGGTTCCATCTATATACTATTAAAACTCTCATGTCTGTAACCTTCAACTGAGTGAAATGGTGTGTCATAGGGCAGCAATTTTTGAACCAAGGTACCTCAAATAGGCTAACTTACAGAATGTGTCCAAAATCCAGGTCCCATTACTCCCGTGGGATTGAAATTTGGGAAATTTGTGGCTGCTTCAGCACTTCTGTGCTGCTGCACCGTCGTGGTCAGCCCAGGTCACGTGATCATCATGGGCGTATCCCCGATCTCTTTCCTGCCTCCCTCTGGTGGCAAGGCCCAATGGGCGAGTGGCAATTGGCTGATTTGGAAACAAGGCAGAAATCTGAAATCTCTTAATGGCGGTGGGTGTTGAGGGAAGGATGAGGGAGCAACTTGGATGCCTGCTGGCAAGATAGGCCTGGCTAGGGTTGCCAGTCATTGACAGGTGAGCCCTCTTTCTCCCTTGAGGGAGGGGGCCCTTGGGGACACACCAGAATGAGCAGCAGGGGTACAGTTTTCCTGGTGGTCCACGGCTCCCTTTGTTCCACCTCCCCCCAGCAAAGTGACAGGCAGTTCTGTGGGTCAGAAAAGGAGGAGGAGAAGGCTTCACCAGGGCTCTCCTGAGGGTTGTGAGGGGAGGGCAAACAAAAAGGAAGGAATTTTGCCCTCCTTCAAGGCAAAGGAAGGGATTTTGCCCTTGGTCATTCTGTTTCTTTGTTTAGGTAAGGAAATATCTCTGAATCGATGACCCAGCAGAATGGTCAGCCAAGGAGGAGGACGAAGAGGCTTCACCAGGGCTCTCCTGAGGGGCATGAGGCGAGGGTAAACTGCCCCAGCCTATATTATATGTGGAAAGGAAGGGAGGGAGGGAGGGAGGGAGGGACGAGGGAGAGAGGGAGATTTCTAAAGCTCCCTGCCAGCTTCCCACAAGTAAAGTCAATGGGAAAGCTGGCAACAAGTCATAAGTCACTCAAACACTCACTGCTTTTTTGCCCCTGGTCATTCTGTTTCTCTGTTTAGATAAGGAAATATCTCTGAAACGATGACCCAATGGGTTACAGGTTGTCTAGTGAGAGACTAAGGGAAAAAGATTCACTGCAACCAATTTTCTATCACTTGAGCTTTGCTTCTTGATCAGGGGTTCCCAGGACTATTTTTAACAGCTTTCATAGCCAGAAAATGTTTGAAAAATTAGTCCTGAGTTAAAGCATCAACCCTAGGTCTAAGGTATTACAAGGAAATAAGCTTCTGTTAATATAAACAAATCATTTGTGAAATATCTTGGTAACATAAAGGTTAGCTAGAGACCCATATGAAAATTTATTTATACCATTTATCCTTCATCTTCTTCAAGCACAATAAGTAGCAACAATGATAAACCTTTATAGATTTATCTAGTATTATATAATAAAACAAGAACAATAATAATTAAAAAAATGGAATTCCACAAAATAAAAACTAGAGAAAGACATCCTTTTTGTTCTACTGTTTAACTGTTAACTTATAGTACTTACTACTTCTTGCGACATTCATTAGCTCTGTCAATTTTAAATTCTGGTAGACTGATGAATCCCTCTGCTTTTTCATCCTATGAAAATGAATACATTAAAAAACAAGAGCAGCCAAACAATAAACAAGCATATGCAAGTATACTTATAGCCTATTTGCTCCCAGAGCATTTAATCAAGACTTCAACTACAATCACTTTAAAAATCTTGCTAAAAAGTGGATCATTAAGGTTTATTATCAAGAAAAATGTGTAAGCTTGGTTCACAAGTAAGAATAAGCAGTAGGAAATAACATTTTTGTTTTTGGCTTAGTAAAGTGTGAGAATTCAGATGATACAATGATTAATAATGGCATAATGTGTAAAATAGGTCACAATGGCTTATAAAACCTTGGCTAACTCAATTTTTGTGCAATTCATGTAACTTAGACCCTACAAACATAGGGAACCACTCTTAAAAAACAATTCTGTGGGCAGAATATTATGACAAATATTGTTAGAAGTATAATACAGATCTAGGCCTAAAGCTATTAAAAGCCTGTTGTCAAAATATTGCCTGGTTATTTCAAAACAATAACTGAGTTCAGGAAACTAATCCATTGCAATTGTCTGGATTTGCACAATATCTTTAACAATTATACATGGCTTACTAACTGAATAGATGGATTCTGGAACATATGATGTAAAACCCAGAAAACCTACACCATAGCTTAGCGTGATGTATGAAGAAAACATTTGAAATTCACATCAAATTCTGCTATTGCTACGTCTTAGAATTAATTGACTTGTGACAATATTGTATTTAGAACAGAAATTACAGGCTTCTCTTTCGGAGGTCCAGTTCCTAGAACTCGCAATTCAATACTTCATTGCCCTTGCCCATTCATAACATTTCTGCCAAGACTGCACAGCTCCTCTGAATTGCAAGAAGCTATGTGCATATTTATTCTGAATCTCCTTTTTATCAACTGTATATTCATAACATATTGAACCTTATAGGTCATTCCCAACTTTCTCTATTAGTTGCTCTGTCTTTTGACAAATCATTTTTTTCTTCCTTTCCTTTTTTTTCCTTTCTCCTTTTCTACTTAAATTCAAGTATATATTTTTAGACTCCAATTTTTGCTTCATTATTTTCACAGTCTCCTATGCACTTTTTCCTAAGCTTAATTCTAATCAAACTAACAGTATTGAGTTTTCCAAGAAGGTGAACTAAAGAAATAGTCAAGTTCTTTGAAAAACTACTTATTCCCAAAATTACATTTGTCCCCATACTGAGATAACATTTAGGATACTGAACTCTGTATATGACTAGCAGAAGCAGGTTCCTGTACTTATGGAACAACTTCATTCAATGTTATGTAATTGGCCTTACCATCCTGGCAGCCAGTTTGTGCAAGCCTGTCCACTGGCAGTCATTTTTAAGACCACCTGCGACCTGCTGTTAAAATCCCAGATGTGTTCAGCTACAAAAGTTTGTCCCAATGTATAGGATTCATGTTTACCTTATATGCAATTGGGATATATGTATGTGTACAGAACATTCAGAGAATTTTGAAAATGCATGTCTTTGAAAGAATGACTACAGCATTTTCCAGTTCCCTCCTGGAATATATGCATGCTGCTTTCCTTTAAAGCAAAGACAAAGGTTTAACTTGCTTTAATTCAATATGATTAAGTATTAATTTTAATACATGCATGGGACAAAATATACACACAATCTGTGCTTCATTTACTTTTTTATGCTATAAGAGTTTTCACTGCTGAAGAAATCAGTACTGATTTTTGGAGTACTTCTTAGCTCTAAAAACAATAAAAATAAATGGAATTCTAGATAAGTATACACTGTTTACGCTATTTGTTAGTCTTGGTGAAAGAGGAATAGTCATGTCTATTTCCTACCTCCTCATTGATATACCAATACAGGGAAGTTTCCTTCAGAACAAACCAGTATTTTTTCCATTTTTGTGAAAAGTAACTTTTAGCATCTTTCTTTTTCCATAGCCAGCCTTCACAGTCTCCACGACCTAGATCTTTACAAGAAATCCGTCGCTTACTCTTACTTGGTGCTAGACCTGAAAAAAATAACTGATTCAAAATGTATATAAACCATATTTAAAATAGAAGATGTGAATTAACATGTACACATACAAAATCATTCCCTTTACAAAGTATAAAACCTACATACAGTACATGCTAATGGGTCTGAGCTACCAAGCAGTGGATGATATGATGCATGGTCAAATGGAAACTTCATCTAGTGTCTATCCGCTATGATAAAAGCAAAGAATACTAGTCATGAAGGCTATGATAGTCATACTAGTCATTTCTGCTAAGATCATGCCACAGATGTTTGACTATTTAGGGCATAGAAAGTTGAATATTTGAGTTTAATTCAATCTCTTATATTCTGAACTGCATAAAGCTTCCAGTCTAACATGAATCTTTTTTTCTACCATGCATTTCTGTTAAGATGAAGTTCTGAAACTCCCCTACTAATAAACAGCAATGTTTGAGGCATAACATATTTCTCTAATGGCAAGAATATTTAAGGACTCTGGGGGAGATGGGAGGCATATTAAATAAACAAACAAACGAACAAACAAATGGACTTGGCTCATTATAATTATGTAAAGATCATGTATCTTTTAAATCACATGTGCTTTAAAAACTTATAGACCAAGAATAAAACTAAGGAAAAGGCTGTTTTTATAGGAATAGACTGAAAATTACTTCCTGTATAATTTTTTTACCTTAAAAATGTGTTTGTACAGCTTACGATATTATTTTATTTGCCATCAGATGTACAAAAACTATTTCATATAATATTTACCTTTGTTCTTCTTTTTAGACTTATGCTGAAGAGAGGACTGTTGAAATGTCTAAAGGGAAAACATACATGTGGTTTGGTTAATATATGCCAATCTAATCATAGTCATGTAATGAAATTATCAAACCTTTAGAATGGAGGAAATATTTCTACAGAAGCCACACTTACTAACAAATGGGAGAAAAACAGACACATAGTTGGGGATTGTATTAATAGACCATTCTAGGTTGCCCTTGGAGCTCATCTGGTTTGGTATGTTTCTCCCTCTTCATCATGTGAGGATTTTTAAAATGTTTTATATCGTATTGCTCTATGCTGGTCTTTGGCTGTTGTAAAGTTTGCATTTCAAGTTTCATAACCCAATATTAAAACTACCCTTAACGCTGGTCCCTTTCAACCCACCAAACAGCTCAGCAGCAGCTTTTGGAGAAGTGGTTGTGCTGGAGAAACTTCCACGTCAAGAAGCATAGCGAGATCCCTGCGTTCTCAGAGCAATTTGGCAGTGGGACACAGAGAGCTTCAATAGGGCTCTGGAATTAATGTCTCTCCCTTTATTTTAATGATTCTGCTTATGTGCTGGATTCTCACTGCCAAATATTCTACCTATTTGCCTCCAAAAGAGCCAAATACTTTAAGGCAAGAAAATGTAGAAGCACTCATCCTGTTTTCTCTCTTTGAACTATTCCCACTAATTCTATAAAAGCACCATGTTCAGAATATTATACTAAACAAGTTTATTAAACAGCACACAATTAATAGGATTACTTTCTTCTAGCTTATTATCTTAAAGCAGCAATAATGACAAAGATTATATTTTTCCAAATACATTCTGTTTAAGATGTATATATGACACTATGGTTTTTCATCTTCACTCTGTCTATAGTCTTTTGAATGGAAGCTATCTGAGAGGTTTCATTCCCAATATCCCAGAAACCTACAGAATGAATATTTAGAGAATACAATTCACATGACTGATATTGTGATAAAGCTAGATACTTTGCACCATTTTCAATTTCAATTTATTTCCATAGCAACTTGTGCCTTTTAGAAACAGCCATAACAAGCAAAAGAAAATACAAATTACCACAGGTACATTTTTAAAAATTTAAACATGAGGAAGAGGAGGTATATAATAATGTTATTTAGATAATAAATTGTTGCAGTGGAATACAAACTTTAAGAACCTAAACACCTTTGTAAATCTGTTCTGCTGAGTTCTGGGTTTTATTTAGCATGATAAATAACCACACTGAATATTAAACAACATTAATATTTAATTAACAATGATTTAATGAATATTAATCAACAAGTTAATGAGCCCTTTCTGAACCACTTGTAGAAAAGTATATATTTATTTCCCATGTGCTCAGTGCATTCATATACAAACGTACAGATGCTACAATTTCCAAGTTTCATTAATACTTTTTGTTATTTCTAGATAAAGTTTAAGTTAAATTTTCTTTGTGTTTTCTCCTCTTCATTCTTTGCTTAGGAAACAGCGAGAGCAAGGATTGCTAGTTAAAAAGGAATTTTTAGTCTGTCTGACATGTACTGTGGTCAGCAGTCACTTTCCACTTTTCTTTTAAAATATACAAATAGGAAAGGAAATAAAAGGTTTATTAACTATTAGAAAATTTCTAGAATTATTATATATACGTTGTGGATAAGTGTGGTATAATTGTGGCTGAAAAGGTGACACAATTAGTATATAACACTAAATATGTATTTAATACATTTGTTTACACATATTTTGCTTTACAAGAAAATTCACTCTTTGATTCATTTCAACAGTAATACTATATTCATCATGTTTTAAGGAAGAACCCAAAGCAACCACTTCTGTCAAGTCTAATTTGAACAAATTGTGGTCTGGCCACACCAGAACAGAACATTCTGAATGGGGGGAAAAAACCTGTGAATAGAAGAAATTGTAAGATTTGTGCCTGGCATTCCAGGTATATTAGCCAAGCAGCTAATCACTACAAAACTGGAAAGGCATATCAATGAAATGTAAATAAAAAGAAAATCAACATCCTTAATCACAAATATAGAGTCTTAATATAGTTCAGTTAAATCTGTACTTATTCTTAAGTAAAACTGTATGACATCTGATCTAAACATATATTTAATATCATATTTCTCAGGAAAGCAAGATGCCATATAGTCTTACTTAGAAATAAGTACACATTTAACTAAATTTATGTGATTCCTTGGTAGTTTCATGCTATATATTAATTGGGCTGGGAATTTCCTACTGTTCATTCCTCCTCTGCACTGTAAAGGCTTGATTCAACTGCAGCAAAATGATACAACCAGATCCTATGATTCTCAGCTGTTTAACTCCCCCTCCCTCTTCTGAACAATTTCATCAGTTGGATTTAGATGTAATAAATTAAGGCATGAGAATTAATTCTGTGCTTCTGTTCCTCTAAACTTTAACCATTTGACCACGATATCTCTGTTACAGTTTGTTAAATAATAGCTTTCTAAGAAATTTGATATTTTAAAAAATCTTTGTGTTTAATTGCTGGTTCAAGCCATGACATGAAAGCAGACTTAGATCTTTTGTGGGTTATATCTTTACAATGTTTATACATAAACTGCACTTATAGGATGTATCAGTTTATATTCTCATAAAACTAGTATCTAAGCAAAATTCAATTTATTTAAAGATAGCTCATATGAATAGAAAGTATTGTTTATAAGTGGTCATTTTATTTTTATACAAAGAATATGAAGATACATAAACACAACATTTATAAACTTTTTTTAAAAAAAGTTAAGTTAAATCTTAGTGTGGAACTCAACCCTTTGTGCCTTTATAGATATATCCAAATAGTTTTCTTGGTAACAAAACCAAAGTGGTTTGTCATTACCTTCTTCAATATGTTTTTTACTTCCTAGACTAGACTGTAGTCCTAATTATTCCTTGAACATCTCCCTCACAAGTATTAACCAGCTCCAAGTATGATTAGTTTCCAAGAACAATCAGGCACCCACTGCCACTGACCAATACTTAAATTTAAAACCTGTATCTTAAAAAGTTGATATGCATGTGCAACTAACTCCATGATATTGCTTTTCTTTGTATACAAACACAACACAACCTGTATCTTTTACAGAATGCAACACTAAATGTTTTCTATTAGATGATGAAATGCACTATAAGACTATATGTATATGTATATGTTTATGTATGTGTATGTGTATCTATCTATATATATGGTTATGTTTGTGTTTTCATTCATTCATTTGCAGGTATTGGTTTCTTATTTTACATGTACAAATCAATACATTATATTATACTTCATTAAATTCACACTGTCACTCCAGTTCTAGTATTAAATAAAACATTATAATTAATTTGCTGGAATAAGAGCAGAGCATTAATATTTAATTAGGCCCAGTGGAGAATTATCTTGAACTATCAAAACTGGGATGCAGACAGAAATATAAAATTGCAAAAACCTGTTAAGCAGTAATAATGTAAGAGAATAAAAGTTGGCTATAGCATGGCAAAAAGCATGCCTTTCCTCTTTTAATGTTCATTCATTAGTATCTTATTTACAATCCAAAGTAAAAATCTTAGTAGTTCCTGAAATCAAAAAGAGATATGTGAATATAATTGCCAGATTTAAGCTGGATATATTTAACCATGTTTTCTGTGAGCCACTATATACCATTAATATGATCAATGACATTTTTCTCCATGCAAACTAATAGCTTTAATTCCATTACATGTAATTGTTAAAAAAAGAATATACATGTAATAGCTACTCCACAGTTTCCTACGTTCACAACAGAGTAGTAAGGATAGTACATTATAAATTAAACTGCCGAAGTGTCAGACTTTCCTATTTCATTTAATATTAAAATAATATCTAATAACAAATCAGAGAGCAAGTTTGGGGTAGTGGTTAAAGCATCAAGCTAGGAACCAGGAGACTGTGAGTTCTAGTCCTGCTTTAGGCACGAAGCTAGTTGGGTAACCTTGGGCCAGTCACCCTCTCTCAACCTGTCCAGGCACTTGCCAGGAGTCAACACCGATTCGAAGGAATAATAATAAGAGGAGGGGGGGGGGGAGGAGGAGGAGGAGGAGGAGCAGCAGCAGCAGCAGCAGCAGCAGCAGCAGCAGCAGTAGTAATGGAAATAAAATAATCTTTATAAGATAGACCACATAATGTGCAAACAAATATGTGTAGTAATTTCAGTTATTCAACAACAGTATCAGCACAGAATGAAGCATTTTGTCATTTTACTTACATGATACAAAGTTGTTTCAGGCCCTGGTGTGCTCATGCTGTCTTGCCTTAATGATTCCATTTGTAAACTAGGTAGCAGAGAATAATGACTAGGACTGTTGCTCTTGTCTCCTTTCTTTTTAGATTTTTTCCCTGTGTCCTTTTTGCTGTTTCTTTGGAACATGTAATCTTCTTGAGCTATTTTCTCATTACTCATATATCGAAGAAGTGAATTTTCTAGACAGTAATTATAAAATTGTATTACAAAATTACTTGTTAAATACTAGCCGTTGTATTGTACTCTTGCTAAAACAAGTTGCATAATAAACACTGGACCATCTTCACACTTGTCTCTGGATAACCAATTATGTTGGGAATAAAATACAAAAAACACTGAGAGCTACCTGGAAACCTATGTCTTAATTATAGGTAGTCCTCAACTTACAACCATTTGTTTAGCAACTGTTTAAAGTTATGATGGTGCTGAAAAAAGTGACTTACAACCAGTCCTCACATTTTCAACCATCACAGTGTCCCCATGGTCATGTGATCAAAATTCAGGGCTTGGCAACGGACATGTATTTACAACGGTTGCAGTATCCTGGGTCACGTGATTGCCATTTTCAACCTTCCCAGTTGCCTTCCGGCAAACAAAATCAATGGGGAACTGCGTGATTCATTTAAAAACCACCGCACAGAATGGTGTAAAATCGGGCACAGCCACATGACACTCGCTTAATGACCACACCACTTAACAACTAATTTTCCAGTCCCTATTGTGGCTGTAAGTTGAGGACTACCTCTGCATAAAATCCAATCAATAATGGTGTATCTATTCATTTCACATTTTAATACAAATTATTCTAGAATACAAAAACCACCCTGAGCATCTGAATTCCCCTGAAGTACACATATCAATCTGGAATCAATATTCATTTTTAGCAACATTTTTATTTCTCCATAAGCTCACTGGGATTTAACTATCCAATCACAGCAATATTAATCTAAGATATACAATTTAAAATAGTTATAGCTATAAATATTTTTCTCTTGGGATAATTATTCCAGTGTTTTTAAAAATTCAAACACCAAGTAATGGCTCATTTCTTACACATCTCTATATCTACTAGAGGCTATAAAAAGTACCACACTGATATACTATACTATAATATATATGTTATACTATAATATACTATACTATCAAGAAAACATATCATCAGCATATTTGTGTTAAACTCCAGTCACTTTTGTACCCATAATGTCCCTCAATTGTTTTACAAGAAGGCCAAATGGTTCCAATATCAAATTAAATATAACAGCAGATAAAGAGTATCCTTAACACATTCCATGAGACATCCTGACAGGGGAAGAAGGAATTCTATTTGTAATAACCCTGGTCAAGGAATTAGAATAATACATTATAATCCACTTAATAAAACAAGACATTTGGTCAAAACTTGCCCGCAAAATTTGAATCCTACCATATCAAAGATCTATAAACATACAACCAGCACTACTGATTCTAGTTTTTCTGAATGACTACATAATATATCAAGTAATAATTTAATATTGCCAATTGCCTCCATCTTATAAAACCAGACTGGGCAGGGTGGATGATATCATTATAATAGTAATTAGGAAAATAGTAGCTGGAGAAATTAATTACAGTCTCCAGCTATAATTACAGTGGGGCAAAAAAGTATTTAGTCAGCCACCAATTGTGCAAGTTCTCCCACTTACCTCAACTATGAGAGACAAAATGGGGAAAAAATCCAGAAAATCACACTGTCTGATTTTTAAAGACCTCAACTATGAGAGACAAAATGGGGAAAAAATCCAGAAAATCACACTGTCTGATTTTTAAAGACCTCAACTATGAGAGACAAAATGGGGAAAAAATCCAGAAAATCACACTGTCTGATTTTTAAAGACCTCAACTATGAGAGACAAAATGGGGAAAAAATCCAGAAAATCACACTGTCTGATTTTTAAAGACCTCAACTATGAGAGACAAAATGGGGAAAAAATCCAGAAAATCACACTGTCTGATTTTTAAAGACCTCAACTATGAGAGACAAAATGGGGAAAAAATCCAGAAAATCACACTGTCTGATTTTTAAAGACCTCAACTATGAGAGACAAAATGGGGAAAAAATCCAGAAAATCACACTGTCTGATTTTTAAAGACCTCAACTATGAGAGACAAAATGGGGAAAAAATCCAGAAAATCACACTGTCTGATTTTTAAAGACCTCAACTATGAGAGACAAAATGGGGAAAAAATCCAGAAAATCACACTGTCTGATTTTTAAAGACCTCAACTATGAGAGACAAAATGGGGAAAAAATCCAGAAAATCACACTGTCTGATTTTTAAAGAGGAGATCTACATGGAGGATGGGCCAAAATACCAGCAACAGTGTGTGAAAACCTTGTGAAGACTTACAGAAAACGTTTGACCTCTGTCATTGCCAACAAAGGATATATAACAAAGTATTAGTGGGAGAACTTGCACAATTGGTGGCTGACTAAATACTTTTTTGCCCCACTGTATCCAGATATACATAAACTAAAAAGATATTCAAAAGACTGCAATCATAAGAAACAGATTTTAAAGATAAAAGCAGCCTCACATAGCTTTTTAAAATGTGTTACTTTCTTTTCTGTCTTCCCTTGTGGGTCAGCAATTAATTTAGTTTTTGGCTGTTCTTCAGCTTCGACAATCTCAATCTCAATCTCTCTCTCTCTCCCCCTCCCTCCCTCCCTCTCTCTCTCCCTCTCTCTCCCTCCCTCTCTCTCTCTCTCTCTCTTCCCCTCTCCTGCCTTCCTTCCAGAAGCTTCACAGCAGCGTTTGTTTCTCGGGTTTGCATTGAAACCTGAAAGCAGTTGGGCTGGTTAACTGCACAGAGCATAGCACAGAGATGCTGCACTTCCATGAGATCCAAAACACTTCTGAATAGTTGTCAAAGCATGTACAACACTAACACAGAGACACACACAGAGTATTTTTTTAACACCTATTTTCTCTAGTTGCAACTTGTTTTAATATAAATCAAATTTACTGATTTTTTTTTTCTACCAACATATAATAATAGTAGCCATCAATTTGTCCCTGCAGTTATCTTAACTCTTTGTACATTATTCCATTTGCTTAGCTGATTATGACTTTCCAGAGTTTATATTCACAAAATAGAATACAGACAGTCCCCTAGACACGAACTTTCAAGTTGCAAACAAGATGGACCTGGAAGTTGGGCCAGTAGGGAGAAGGTGCGCCACAAGCTGACCCTTTCCTGCTGTCTCCCAACTTCTGGTTCTGATTTCTGGTCCTGACTTCTTGCATGGTCGATTGTGTTTGGTGTGTGGCGACTGCAAATTGCAGACTGCAAATATCTGCAATTAAGCATAAGAGTGCTAAAGGAGAGGAGGGTAGCACGAAGAAGTTGCAATCCATTATGATGCTCACAAAGATGGAGATATTGAAGAAAATAAAGGGAAGGGGAGAAGATGGCAAATGTGGCATATTCCTACAGAATGAATTGCTCCACAGTTCGAACAATCATTAAGAACAAAGACAAGATCACAGAACATGTCAAAAGTTCAGTGCCTACACAATCCACAATAATAAGCAAGAGGAGAAGAAAAGTGATGGAAGATATGGAGGTGCTGCTTGGCATGCGGATCGTAGATCAGCATCAGCAGCTTGTGCCGCTTAGCCAAATGCTGATCCAGGAGAAGACTAAGAGTTTATTCCATGACTTACAACAGAAAGCTGGTGAAGGTGCTGCTGAAGAGCTGCTTGTTGCAAGCCATGGGTGGTTCCACTGCTTTAAGGCTCGTGTGAACCTTCACAATGTGAAAGTCAGTGGCGAGGTGGCAAGTGTAGATGAGGTTGGAGCCAAGCAGTTCCCAGAAACCCTCAAGAAGATCATCAAGGAAGGTTATTTGCCCCAGCAAATATTCAATGTGGATGAAATGGGGCTTTACTGGAAGACAATGCTGGACAGAACGTACATCAGTAAGGAGAAGACCATGCCAGGCTTCAAAGCTGGAAAAAATAAGCTAACTGTGCTGCTAGGTGGCAACTCTTCTGGTGACCTGACCCTAAAACTGCTATCATTCTGAGAACCCACAAGCTCTCAAGAATGTCTCAAAGAGGCCACTCCCTGTTGTGTGGAAGGCTAACAAGAAAGCTTGAGTTACCCGTCTCATCTCTGAAGACTGGTTTTTCCACCATTTCATCCCGGAAATGGAGAGGTACTGCTGCGTGAAAAACATTGACTTCAAGATTCTGCTCACATTGGATAATGCCCTGGGTCATCCACCTTACCTGGACAATTTCCATCTGAATGTGAAGGTTGTGTATCTGTCTCCCAATACCACCTTCCTCCTGCAGCCGATGGGCCAGGGAGTGATAGCAACTTTCAAAAAATACTGTCTTTGGTGCATGTTTCGGCAGGCAGTCAAGGCAACCAAAGTGGACTCCCAGTTGACCTTGCATCAGTTTTGGAAGTCCTACGACATTTGCAAGGCCATCAAGAACATTGATGTAGCCTGGGACGAGATTATCCCTGTGAACACGAATGGGTTGTTGGAAATGTCTGTGCCCTCAGTTCATTCATGACTCTTGTGAGCTTGAGGCAGCAGAAAGGGAGTCGCAGGCTGTTATCAGCAGCTTGGTTGCCCTCAGCAAGGAGCTTCAACTCAACTTGGCAGAGGGTGACTTTCATGAGCTGCAAGCTACGTAGACAGAGGACTTCTCCAATGAAGACCTCATAGAGTTGGAAAAGCAGTGACAAGAAGAGGAAGAGGAAGAAATCAAACCACCGAAGCAGATCCAGACCAAGCTGATAGCAGAGGGGTTCAGCTTAATTGAGAAAGTGCTATTGTTTGAGGTGCAGGACCCTAACGTGGAGCACTTCACCAAGGTATTTGCAGCCGTCCATGATGCAATCCAGTGCTACAGCGTCATTTATGAAGGGAAGAGGAAGACCACCACCCAAAGTTGGAAAAGTGGAAAAAAGTGCTGTTTCAACTACAGAGGACGAGCCTATGCCATCTCCGTAAGCGCCTACGCCATCACCGCAAGCGCTTACATCAGTGCTGCCACTTATGTAAGGTATGAACTGGGCATGTTTTTTTAATGCTTTTTGGACTTGCGAACAAAATGGACTTACTAACAGCCTCTCGGAACATAACCTAATATAATAAAAACATAATT